TAAGAAAAAAATGTAATTTTTCAGTTAGAAAAAAAAGTATAAAAACAACATGAAAACAGTACTGAAAATATAAAGAAAGAATCTTCTGTCCCGATAGGTGTATTAATTATAGAAATATAATAAGATAAGAGAACAACTGGTTGCTCAGGCTCGATTTTTTTTAAGGCAAGCAAAAAATTTGTTCATATATGTGCTTCAACTATACATTCCTCCTTTATGAATGTATTAAACAATGTCATTTTCTTCTTTATTGATTAACCCTAATTCATGCAAATCTCATTACTGAATAACTTTTGATAATTCAGAAATTAAAAAGTAAAACAGGTATACAAAAGATAACGTCTCAAACATAGGCTACACCCCATTCTTAATCCCATGTTATGTCTTTTTGAACTCTTTTGCCTCCACTCTATGAAGAAATGAAATTGACAGCCTAACAGGTAGTATAGTATGCCAACTGCACAGGAATTGAAACTTGAGCTAGCTGGTATGTGTCCATAATTGGTTGATGCAGAGCACGCGGCACAAGGACGCCGCCGAGGACAGAGCTTGTCCTGTGCCTCTTAATTTTTCCTGTTTATCTCGTGTGTGCTGCGTCAACCACAGAGTATACTGACTATTATGCCACAATTAAATTCAAATAGTTGTAGAAAATGCAGTGTTGCCAAAACCACTGCCATGAAAAACAGCTGTACAAACACAATGAGGTCGTCATGTTTGTGTTCTACGCTCTTATTATTTGACATTGCACCCATTCGAGTTTCTTTATGCTTACTCATGACAATCAACACTGCTTGGAAATTGAAGCTTGCCACACACTCCTTCAGAATATGCACAAACTTATAATGAGCTGAGCAACTGTTTAAAACGTAAATTATGACACAAATTCACCATCTTAATAACTTAACTACGTGTGTGCTGTAGTATATTGCAGCTGTGGATGGATAGCACATTTTATTCTGGCATCACAGCAGCCAAAAAGCAGTCATCTAATCCAGAAACTTGAGATAAATAAAAAAAAAAAACAGCCACAGAAGGAAAAACAGGTCTGTGGGCATGTTTTTGTTTTTTTTTTGTGGCACTGTTTACCTTAAGTAGTATGCACACTAGCCTAGTCAGCTACTTTATCCAGAAACTTGCCTAGCATACCCCTCATCACTAGGAAAACCGACAAAAAGAAAAAGGTTGTTACACAAGTTTCCTAAAGGCACCACTATAAATTATCTTGACAAATGATCAAATGACTGATTTTGCAGCAAACACTTTGTATTATGAAGGCATATTTTGTGTCTCAAAACATGGCCACATAATAAATATAATCACTTGTTTTTGTATTTGCATGATCCTGGGACCTGAATTATACATCTAGAAGTATCGCTTAAGAACTACAAGGGAGTTCATATAGTTTGTATAGTGAGCTGCATGCTCCACAGTGCAGTGTCCTTGACACACCGCTATACTAGAAGCACCATCTACTTCTAGAAGCACTAACTGTCTATATTCAAAGGGACCCTCTTTCTCAAACAGTGCATTGGTGCAATGCTTTCTCTTCTCTCATTAAAACAACAAAGACTAAATTATGCTTTTCAACTTTTCACAGACACAGCCAGCAACCCTCACTAAAATAACCACAATACAGCTAGAGTAACTATTTGACTTGCATTCAATTCTGTCTAAAAATATTGTTATTGGTATACGCCTAGACGCTTCCTCCGAAAGAGAAAGCATTGCAAGCGATCGCAAGGTGCAGCACAAGGGTTCAACGTATGGAGTTGTGCTTCAGCTTCCTGGACAGTGCTCTGACACACAAAGGCAACATGTTGCACTTAATTGTAACATATGTAGAAAAATCGACATAAGGAAAAAGCCTAGATAAAGGACCAAATGCGTAGCAGTGCCTAAACAGCTAGAAATATTAATACAAACAAAGCATATGAACTGTCAGGATGACAAAACATTTAGTGAAACATTCAAAAATCAGAGAGTGTCTAAGAATGAGATACGTACAATGCCAATTGAACAACCACATGATCAGGAAAAGGATCCTTTAACTCAATTACCCACTCTGCCTTTAACTTCATTAACAAAAGTTTTGAGAGTATGTTATACTATCGCTGAGACAACTCGAAGATGAAGGCTTTAGCAACAACGCATTGAAAACAAACATCACAGCAGAATTCGATGAGTTGTTTGGCTCATCATGCCTACGTTTTTGTGCTTGTCGAGCCTCTTCTCACGTTGCTTTTTCAGCCCCCTACACAATTCCCTAAGCCCTGGTTCAGCATCTCCTATAGTGCATAGAGTTTACTAAAATTTATAGTGCATAGAGTTTACTAAAATTAACTAGAGGGGAATCTGGCACTGCGATAATACAGCGACCATGGGAATGATGGGTAGTGCGTGAACTTGTCTAAATTTCGTGCTTGCGAGCTTCAGATGTGCTTGTGGCTTTGATTACTCCAGTGTTTTAGTTTTGTTTGAAATAAAAGAACAAACGATTTTGAACTTTATGACCCGATTTGAATCGGTGAGCCTAAATGATTAAAATGGTGAAGTGTAACAGTTAAAGCTTTGCTTACTATAGTCTTGTGACAAAGCAGCTCCAAGCCACATGAAGCCAAATGTGACTGAAAGTACAAAGATTAGACTATTCTATGTACTACCCATCATTGCCATGCCTGCTGAAGCGCCATGCATTCCAGCTCCATAGACAGTAGCACTCCCTCTAGTGTATTTAGAGGAAACTCTATGCCATAGTGCACACTTTCCACATCACTCTATAGCTGTCAGAGAACCGAATAACGGGAACACCATTTTTTTTTCAATACACTCTGAGCAGCAGGCACACTTCTGCAAGAGCTTTCCATTATGTCTGTTGTGCCAGGAAGTCTATTTCTTAATATTTTTTTTTTACTGCCCTGGCTTCACACTTAAGCGAAGACGATATGAGCCTTTAGCCAAACTTGAAAGGTAATGAGATTGTTTTTTGTACTGTTTCATGATCATGCTGGGTTTTCTTTCAAGGCCCCAGCTTCATATCAGACATATCAGACTTTCACACACACACAAAAAAAGATGTTTCACTTGCGTAAAGTAAGGTAACCAATGCCACCTTATAAGCTGCTCAAACCCAAAGATCATTAAAGAACAAAATGCTCTTTATGCTAGTTTTTACTACTGAATGAGATATTAGAAATGCAGAAAACCGATTTGTAAAATAACCGAATTATTCCAATATGCTCACGGCAGCTCCTTCGTGCAAGTAGAGAGAGCAGTCCTGTTCTCATGTTACCTGTCATAAATATCACTAGTATTGAATTAAAAACATACGAAAATACAGTAGAAGACTGCTTATCCGTTCCTTACTGATGAGTTTTCCTGTGTGAAACCTTTTTAGTAACCAGTCCCAGCAAAGAATCTACGGAAACCTATGCATTGGAATCCCCTTATCATATGTCATTTTTGAAACATTTATGCCTGATACGTTGCAACTGTCGCTTGGCCGGATGTGTTGATGTAAATGAGTTTGATGACGTGGACTGCCACAAGGCCATCCAAGTTCGTGAAAAGTGCCCAATTCTGGCAGAGACATCCAAGAAACACAAGACTTCCATCACAGACTTATTTAGGCAACTTATGAATAAATTCTCCAGAGATAAAGCTATGCACAATGCATCTGTTTTGTTATTTACGAGCACGTTGTACCAATTTTAACCTGCATGGTCGGGTTATCAAGCTGCTCAGTACAGTTTTTTCGCCTGGTCTCCTCGCAACCTTGTTGCGCAATAAACTCAATTCAATTCAATATTCAATTCAATATGTTTCTAGCCGTTGTGTTATTTTTCGCAGTCCTGCGAAAAATGTATGACGAGGTTTCTACAGAGTCAAATGACATAAGGTCCTGGCATGCAGGAGCTCTATGTAAGATTTTTCAAGTCAGCTCACAGCATTTTATGTTACAATTATTCTATATAACCTGTTCTAAGTTCATTTTGAAAAGAATGAAAGAAAAACACCCAAATCAGTCTTTTAAGGTGAAATGTTGGAAAATTCATGAACACAGAGTATCACTGTAGCCGAGGTTTTGACATGTGGGCTTTTCTTCAAGGCTGTAACTTGAAGCCTTGAAGTTGTAGCCTTAAAGAAAATAAGTCTGCTTGTCAAAATGTTCACTTCAAAGATACCCCAAGTTTTTCATCTCTTTAAACTTCTATCATTTCCTGAACTTCTGCCCTCCCCCCCCCCCCCTTTTTTATTTCCTTTAAGATGAAGAAGGTTAAAAGCAATCACAAACTACAAGTTGAGATTACCACAGTGTGTAAATAAGAAACCTTTAAAAATATGTACTTTTTCATAAATACAAAGGAACACAAAAAGAAAGTTAAGCACAACAAATGCTATCTGTGTACGTAAATATGATACCACAAAGGAGCTTCAGTTAGTTGCAAATGAACTGTCCAAGCACCACGCTCATGCTTACTCTTAATAATGCATCGAAACTATTATTAACAAATCATGATGACATTCGAAAATAATAAGCGTTAGCAATGCATTTTGAACTGCTCTTGCACAACGATGATACAGTGCAGTTTACTCACGTTATGATATAAAACATGCAATATGCAGACAGTCTAAGACAGGAAGTTATATTATTAGTATTGAAAATGAGGCCCTCACTGACTTATTGAACAGCTGTACAGCAGGGTTATCACATGCCATTTTTCACGACATTCAGATTTTGCTTTTATACTACTGAAGTTTTAGCTTTATTCATGCAGCCAGTCACTACCACACATTCAACAGTTTGGTGCTGTTTTAACAAGACAGGATTACAAAAATCTGCCCTGCCCGGTATATACCGAGAGATATGCCATGACCAGGATAATTCAAAACTTCTATACCAATTGATGATTGATATGTGGGGTTTAACGTCCCAAAACCACCATATGATTATGAGAGACGCCGTAGTGGAGGGCTCCGGAAATTTTGACCACCTGGGGTTCTTTAACGTGCACAAAACTTCTATACGAATTTCATTGCTTTTCGTGCTTTGTCAGCGGGATCAGTCAACTATGAATAGTGGATAGTGAAGGTGGCAGAGAATCGAGCTAAAAAAAATTGCTACGTTATACCAGGCCATATGCACTGCCAGTAAAGAAAGCTGGCATCTTCTACAAAGTAAAAGTACAGACATCTTAATAGGCACCACATGAACAGTGTTACGTAGACAGCAAGCTTTCCATTCTCAAGATGTGGAGACATTGGCACTCTAAAGAACTGCACAGTCAAAGTCAAAAGAGACAGAAAAAAATGTAACAGATCTGTACAGCTCAGATGCATTTACCGGAAATGTAACGATTAGGACATATTTACAATGACAGCACACAGTTGCTATAAAGTGAATTGATCATGCTGGCATTACAGACAGCCTGTTAAAGAGCCACTCACCAGGCACCAGTAAAAATTTTGGCTACACAGTGGATATAGTAAGATGCCCCCACCCATGAAGCATTCTACTAAAGGAATTCTTTAAAATTGGTTAATAAAACTGAACTATCATGCTTCTATGCCACTAAGAGGCAAGAATTAGTGATCTTTTGCCTCAACTAACACGCGGTGTTTCTTCCCTACTTACTGCTTCAGGAGGGCTGAGAAACACTGACACATTCCCAAAGAGAGCATTTTTACAAACGAAATTACCGAAAGTCATCTGCCATGGTGCATAAGTCTTGTACAGAGGATTGATTGATTGATATGTGGGGTTTGACATTCCAAAATCATTATATAATTATGAGAGACGCTATAGTGGAGGGCTCCAAAAATTTCGATCGCCTGGGGTTCTTTAATGTGCATCCAAATCTGAGCCCACAGGCCTACAGCATTTTCACCTCCATCGGAAATGCAGCCGCCGCAACTGGGACTCGATCTCCACGACTTGCGGGTCAACAGCCAAGCACCTTAGCCACTAGACCATCGCGGCGGGGCTCTTGTACAGAGCAGTAGAGCTACATTTGCACTAAAATCTTTCTGGTTGGTGATGAGATCGGTGACACGCGTGATGGAAAAAGCCTTCTAATAATGATAATTTCTGGGGTTTTACAAACCAAGACTATGATATAATAATTAGGCATGCCACAGTAGAGGGCTCTTTTTGAAAAACTGGGAATCTCTAATGTGTACTTAAATATAAATACGAGGGCACCTAGAACTTAGCCTCCATGAAATGCAACCACCGCAACTAGGATCTAATCCATGACTTTTTCGTTGACAGCAGAGGACCTTTAACCACCAGAAAGAAGCCCTTGATGCAACAGACAGTTCAAGACCGATTTTCATCACTGGGAAGAAAAACAAACAAACAAACCAAAGCTTGGTGAAGAAATCAGAAAACTGCCTTGCAACAGAACGAAAGGAAAAGCTAGCGACAAGTGAGGCCTTTTTTTTTCTCCAGAGATGAAAATCTGTCTCGCACTGACCAGAGTGGCGCAGCTTTCTTTCTGTTGCATGACGCGCCACGAACCTTGTTACCAAACGAAAACTGTTCCCTGTGAAAGGGACTTAAAAGAGGTGTGACACCATTTTTCATAGCAAACTTACTCAGCCATACAAATCTCCTGCATACAGATATGGCTCTGAGCAAGTCTGGTGCTCAGCTAATGCTGGCGAGATATTTGATTTTGATATTAAATCCAATTTTTTCATGGCGCACCTACTAACAATGAACCTTGCTTGACTCCAGACTACAGTACCAATTTTGGTGACTACATGCAGCATTTTCACTAGTTGTGATCACATAAGGTACCAAAACTTCAAAAATGGCTACTTGTGCGCAATTAAAACATTCAAAATGGCTGCTTGTGCATCACCAATGGAGCCATGTTGCAGGGTGGGAGTGGAAATGTCACAATATTTTGCATGAGCACATGTGGAGGAGCTCATATGATGTTGTGACATCAGAATACAGTATGACTGAAACTAGCTTTTAAATACATGCCGTGATTACTTTCTGAGGGAGCACTCATGCTTAGCAGTACATTTTCAAGATTCTTCAGAGTTTGCCCTTTCAATTGACACAAAGAAACAAGCAAAAACTTTTGCCAGTCCCCCATATGACTTCACAGCAATTTATGCATGTGATTTCAATTGACACAAAGAAACAAGCAAAAACTTTTGCCAGTACCCCATATGACTTCACAGCAATTTATGCATGTGACCACTTGAGGTGCAGTTCATCAAGAGAAAGATGAACCACAGTCTTCTGCTTGAAATTTCAGCTCTTATTGTCCCACAAAAACATTTCATGTTTTGCTTATATGATTCCACCACTGTGTGACCTATGTGTCAGGCTTTTTGCTCAGAATGCCCAGATTTGGGGAGTGGCCCTTTAACAGTTCGATTTGATGCCAAATATGGCAGTAAAACAGTTGACTTATAAAATTCATGACTAAATCAAGAGAAACCTATCCTTGACATGCTGATATTTAAACCATGCACATGACACCCTGGGATACACAAGAAGAGCACTTATCACAAACAAAAAAAAAAGGCTAATAACCATTGACATATTAGCTCATTATCAACTCATAAGCATACTGACAAAAATGTAAAGTCCTATTACAGCCCAAATGCAAAATCATGGCACTTCATCAGAAATATTACAGCGGTGGCTGTCAATGTTCAGCCAATTTTTTAACAGACATGCTCAAATCATTGGCAAAAACCACTTAAAGAGACACTAAAGGGAAACTATGACTTGGTTTAGTTTGATAAACAGCACCTTGACAACTCCAATGCCATAAGTTTCACATTGATAAGTTCATTATTAGTGGAGAAAGTCAAGGTTAAAGTTTCTTTTTCATTCTTAATTCTCTGTACATGATGTCAAAGATTTCAAAATGTATTTATGATATTTTTCCAACATTCGCTTGATGAAATTTTTTGAAACTTCGTATGCTAGGTCTATGGCACCCACAGATGACAATGTACTTTGTTTTTATGGATTAAAAGATACATAGAACCCAGTAGATGCCTTCAAAAATCTATGATGTCACGCTGTTTGGAGCGGTAATCTGAAGGTGGCATCTCCATCTGCATTTTCTTTTCGGGCGTTTTCTCGCTTACCAAGCATTGTCTCACGGTAAGAGTGGTGTTTTTGGGATTGTGAAATTGTACTTTACCAATACGCAAGAAATTATTTTTCTCTTTAGCGTCTTTTTTACAATACCAATGCAGAACAATTCTCAAAAACAAAAATTGAACTTTCCAACAAAGCTGCCACCTTGAATAAACATACCGAATATGTCACACTGGACAAAAATTGCACTAAAACGTCCACACATTAGGTTAAAAAAATGGATGTAAACAAATGCAGCATGAAACCCTTTGTGGGTCACCTCTGAATCTTTAAAAATGTGCTACAGTGTGGCAAACTCAATCAGGTTGGACTGATCACAAGTACAACTTTCTGTGATGACAACATGCCTCGAGCTTATTAAAATCTATGTGCTCTTAATTCTTACTTACGCAACAAACTGCCTGTAACTCTGCCTAGATTTGACTGGTCACGCCAAATCAAACCATAAGTATTTAGTACACTGTAGCACTCTGACGATGCACTAAGTTTGAACAGTTGCCTGGCATTTTTAAAAACTTGCTTTTTTTTTTTCCAGGAAACCTACTGTTTTTTCTAAAAGCCCTTGCCAAGGAAGTCACAACCATGACAGATCGAAAGCAGCTGCCAACAAAATGCTAATCTTCCCAATAAACTTTGTGAACGTCTGTCCACAGTTTCACCTTCACAACCGACCTGAACATGCTGTTCAGCGATGCATTACAGATCCCTTTTATCAATGACCATGCCATGTTTGAGTGATGGTGTATAAGACAAGACCTCGATGACGCTGCTGGCATACAAGAAAAGCACAGAGAAGCAGGTTAAAAACAGAGTTCTGAGAGGCTGCACTTAGTGAGGGGTTTAAAACGTAGATGCTCTTCAATGAACTGACAGGGACAGCGTGCCAGGGCACAGTGGCGAGGTGGAGCTGGAGGGCAGGGGCCGTCCTCAAAGCCATCAGGATGCACAGGCATATTGAGGTCTAATCGTTTCCGAACAAACTCTTTCACCCAACGTTGGCTGTAACGGAGGAGAAGCTTTTCGGCATACTTCTGCACAAAGGAAAATTTGCACAAAAGCATTTTCAGGACCTCCTGTAATGACACTGCAACAGCTCCACACGAGCCACAGAAGTGGTTGCTACTCAAGATAGGGCTCCCTAATTTTTTCACGGTCAACTATTCAAACAGTGCAAAATGATGGCTCAAGACAGATGAGGTTTTCGTAAAAATGTAGGCTAGGAAAGTTGCAAGAATGCCTCGACTTAGACAAGTTATTTCAATCCTTGCAGGGTACATAAACAGCACAAACGATGCGGACAAAAGAAGCACCAGCCAAGTTATGTTGGTTTCTTTTGTCCCCATCATTTGTGCTGTTTATGTACCGTGAGAAAGGTGGTATGACAAAGCTAGTGCTGTGTTCCTCTCTTCATGCCTCATCTTGATTTTGTGTTTTTTTGCTAACAATGGGCCGCCAAAAGAAACTTCCCAGCTTTAAGTTCTACGAAACTTCATTTAGAGTATTCTGGCCTCTAACTCTATCACAGAACTCCACTCTAATGCAGACGCTGTTATGTCCCTTTTCGCATATACCAACAAAGTTTTGCCCTACTTTTTTCAACCAAAAGCCCAGCTACTTATGAAACGATACTGAGGTTTTCCCGACTGTCTTTGTGGTCTCCCGTTACTGCTTTGATATGCAGGTAAACTAATGTATTTTAAAAAATGCATTTCAGTTTATACAGTGCCCATAGTGCATGTAACAATCTTTCTAACTTAAAGTAAGGCTTTATTGAAAGGAGGGGCATGGTGGCTCCTGTTTAATATTTCAGCTATTTTGCATTATACAGCTTCTTGACACTATTTATCAAACATGAATGTCACCGCATTACCTAGACACGATACTCGTTTTTGTATGTCCAAATCTAGCGAGTGGCGTTTTAGAGTGGGTAATAACTTATTCAGATCACCATCAACATAGTCAAGCAATTACTTTCACCTGATTAACGGTTGTCTCTGAAGTTTAGCACTGATGCTGCCAGCTTATATCTCAACAATGCTTCCTAAAGTAGAAGTTCAGGTACTTGCCTCTCTCTGCGAGATACGGGTAGTAGAGCTGCTTCCTGTAATAATGATGTCTGACATGTCAATGTCCATTCGCGTCCGATCAACAGGATATAGTGCTGCACCATTTCTAGCCTAAAAAGTGTCAATAAAAACATGTTAATAATAAACACAACCTGACACCAAGTTTTATAAACCAATAAACCCAAACACGACAGAAAAAGAAAGCATAGCTATACCGAGTTAGTGGCATCCCCTGTGGCTCTTGCATCAAGGGCATCTTGACGGTCTTGGTTTTCCAGCATCTCGTATAGGTACCTCTGCCGATTACATTTCAAATGTAAGTTACTCCAGTTTTTGTGCATGTCCAGAAAGAACTACGTCTGCAAAAATACTTGAAGGAGTACTTACAATGCACTGGCTAACATCAAAATAGACAAATATGAGCTAATAATGTGTCAAGGAAAAAAGAAGAGTATTAGACAAGTATTTTGAAACATCTGTCATAATTTCATATGCCAGAGCACTTACTGTTAGATTGAACGTAAATCTGTGATCTGAATGGCAAAGATCTACTCTATGAGTGTGAAGGTCCAAAGAATACAGACTTGTTACTTTTTTAATGCAAAATAAGAAACGTTAACACAAATTGTACCCCCCTCCTTAAGACCGACCGACCGACCCGACCGACCCGACCGAGCCGACCGAACCGAACCGACCGACCGAGCCGACCGACCGACCGACCGACCGACCGCCCGACCGACCGACCGAGACCGACCGAACCGACCGACCGATCCGACCGACCGACCGACCGACCCGACCGACCGCCGACCGACCGAACGACCGACCGACCGACCGACGACGACCGACCGACCGACCGACCGACGACCGACCGACCGACCGACCTCCCCCCGACCACCCCGACCGACCGACCGCCCCCCGACCGACCGCCGACCGCCGACCGCCGCGACCGACCGACCGACCGACCCGACCGACCGACCGCCGCCGACCGACCGCCGACCGACCGAACCGACGACCGACCGACGACCGACCGACCGAGACCGACCGACCGCCCGACCGACCTCCGACCGACCGACCGACCGAACCGACCGACCGACCGCCGACCGACCGACCGACCGACGACCGAACCGACCGACCGACCGACCGACCGACCGACCGACCGACCGACCGCACCCGCCGACCGACCGACCGACCGACCCGACCGCCGACCGACCGACCGACCGACCGACCGACGACCGACCGACCGACGACGACCGACCGACCGACCGCCGACCGACCGACCGACCGACCGACCGACCGACCGACCGACCGACCGACCGACCGACGACCGACCGACCGACCGACCGACCGACCGACCGACCGACCGACCGAGACCGCCGACCGACCGACCGCCGACCGCCGACCGCGACCGACCGACCGACCGACCGACCGACCGACCGACCGCCGACCGACCGACCGACCGCCCGACCGACCGCACCGACCGACCGACCGCACCGACCGACCGACCACGACCGACCGACCGACCGACCCCGACCGACCGACCGACCGACCGACCGACCGACGACCGACCGACCGACGACCGACCGACCGCCGACCGCCGACCGACCGACCGACCGACCGACCGACCGGAGCCGACCGACCGACCGAACCGACGACCGACCGACCGACCGACCGACCGACCGACCGACCGACCGACCGACGCCGACCGACCGCCCGACCGACCGACGAACCGACCGACCGACCGACCGACCGACCGACCGCCGACCGCCCGACCGACCGACCGACCGACCGACCGACCGCCGACCGACCGACCGCCCGACCGACCGACCGACCCGACCGCCGACCGACCGACCGACCGACGCCGACCGACCGACCGACCGACCGACCGCCCGACCGACCGACCGACCGAACGACCGACCGACCGACCGACCGCCGACGACCGACCGACCGACCGACCGACCACCGACCGACCGACCGACCGACCGACCGACCGACCGACCGACCGACCGACCGACCGACCGATCCGACCGACCGCCGACCGACCGACCGACCGACCGACCGACCGACCGACCGACCACCGACCGACCGACGACCGACCGACCGCCCGACCGACGACCGACCGACCGCGACCGACCGACCGACCGACCGACCGACCGACCGACCCCGACCGACCGACCGACCGACCGACCGACGCCGACCGACCGGAGCCGACCGACGACCGACCGACCGACCGACCGACCGACCGACCGCCGACCGACCGACCGACCGACCGACCGACCGCCCGACCGACCGACGACCGACCGCCGACCGACCGACCGACCGACCGCCGACCGACCGACCGACGACCGACCGCCGACCGACCGACCGACCGACCGACCGACCGACCGAACCGACGACCGACCGACCGACCGACCGACCGACCGACCGCCGACCGACCGACCGACCGACCGACCGACCGCCGACCGACCGACGACCGACCGCCGACCGACCGACCCCGACCGACCGACCGAACCGACCGACCGAACCGACTCGACCGACCGAACCGACCGACCGACCGACCGACGACCGACCGACAGGAGGACTCCAAGCCACGGCCAGCAACGATTCTGATTGGACAATGCTGAGGTAAGCGATCACCCGGGGCCTATAAAGAACCAAGCGGCGCGATGCCAAGCAGCCGACCTATGTGTCAGAGAAAAGACGACAGTGTTAAAGCGTCCGAAGACACCTCGACCCTTCGAGTCCGTAAGCTGTACATAAACCTTGCCTTAACCCATTGTCGTCTTGTCTGCTCGGCTATCAGCTCTGCATAGAAGCAGCAGCAAGCTGAGAAACGCGCTACCGAACAACCTTGGCAGCCCGTGTCCTCAGCACACTACGCAACAGTATCGGCGGCGGTGCGCGTCGTAACACCGTGCAACTTCTTTTCACCTGAGGATGGAGCTCAGAAGAAGCCCAACCTGAAGGATGCAACTCGGGTCTCTACCATCCCTCCTTCATCCTTGACCTTGGTCAAGAGCACCATCACGACTGTGCAACTGTGCGTTGCACAGACATTTTCACTTTGTTTCGAGCTCCTGAGAAGCACCGGCCCGATGGTACAGCTGTGTCCGACGGGTCCCTCACAGCAAGCTTAGGCACGTATCTTCCATTACGTTCTACAACGTAATGGAAGATACGTGCCTGTGTATTCCACGATGCTCGTCCGTGACCAGACAGAAGCGTATCTGCATGTTTTAAATTATTCACTAACTGAACATGAGAGCATTTCCACCTTGAAAAGACGCCTCTCGAGAAGACAATAAGGTCTCTGACACGTCTACTGCCTATTGGAGCTTTTGCGCACACACATGAGGACACACGACAGAGACACAGGAACCAGCTGTTGTGACTGGCGCCCGAGCTGACAAGGGAGCAGTGCCCTTTGGATCTTCAAACAAGTAGCCGACCAGCCGGCTGCCTATGACCGCCAGGCATTGTCCCTCCTAGCCGGAGGGTGAGACGTCGTGTCGCCACGACGTTGGAGAGAGGACAACAAATACAGCATCTTCCTTGGAACAGAACGCGGCGGCCGCCGCAAATCGCCCCACTAATTAAGCGAGCAGTTCGACGGACCCTTTGAAGTATGCTGTCAGGAGCTTGGGACCCCTTGACTAGCGGCACACACACGACGAGGAAAAGCCCTGCTGGCACTACTTTGTATTGCAGTGATCACGGCTCAATATTGAACGTTCACGTGGGCCGTGCATGCTCGTCCCCCTCGCCAGTTGTGTGTGATATGTGATGAACGGCAGACTCTAGGCCAAAACGTCGAAATAAACCACGTTGTGACCACTCACGAAGGATCGACTCGAATATTATATATATATATATATATCCGCTGAGGTATTCCACTGGGTGGGTGGTTTTGCTTCCTGGCAAACTTGATATACATATATATATACACATATACACATATACATATATATACACATATACACATATACATATATATACACATATACATATATATACACATATACATATATATACACATATACATATATATACATATATATATATATCCGCTGAGGTGTTCCACTGGGTGGGTGGTTTTGCTTTTTGCTTCCTGGCAAACTTGAGCACGTCGCGTTGGCGTTGCCGGAGGAAACGCTCTCAAAATGTTTACTTTTCACAGAAAGAGATTAACACGCTTTTTGCAGGCCCCCTGTTGTGTCTCAGCACATATTGTCACATTGGCTCCGTCCTTTGAAGAGTGAAGCATACTGGGAGTCGTAGAATCTTTTCCCTGCCGGTTCCGACCAACACCTTTTGCACCGACTCCTGTCACGATCTTCTTCCCCATACCCTTCTCAGTGAACATTCCAGAATGAAAGAAGAGGCAATAGCGCTACGCAAGCCTGTATTGTCGCCTCTCTGACGTCGTGCAGGTGCTCTCCTCAGTCTAGCCTTATCCAGTCTAGCTGCGGGAAAGTGGACTCAACGCACCTACAAGCCCTAGGTCGTCAACTGGACATTGAACTGTGAGGTACAGGTGAACTCTTTATGCACCAGCCAATTTTGCAGGATCGGTGGTATGCTAGCCACCCTATGGCCCTGAACACTAACAAGAAAAGTATACGGGATGTCACTAGTAGTAAATGTTATGTGAATGTGAAAAAAGAGAAGTGGATGAAAAGATAACTTGCCGTGGGCAGGGAACGAACCTGCGACCTTCAAATAACATGACCGATGCTCTACCAACTAAGTTACCGCGGTGGCCATCCTCTTGTCCACTTTACAGGGTATATATATGTGCATTTAAATGTGGGAGCGTCAGTCAGCACCACAAGTAGCCATGACGGCAAGTGTGGAACACTTTTTCTGGCTGTCGGCATCATGTAGCACATGATCTTAATACGGGCAGGCAGCTAACAAAGAAAAACGAGCCCTTAAAATTACTACTTCTTTTCTTCATCTGATTATAGAGTTACCGAATGCCTAACTGATCATGTAGCACAAAATTTGATGCAGAACAAGAGGAGGGATGACTGTGAACCCTAACTTCCAAAAATATTTATTTTGAACAGCGTACATATCTATACTCTCAAAATTTGAAAAGACTAGCAAATCATCCAAGAAGCCCACATATGTCATACGCAAAAATCTTACATACCCAGAAAAAAATTCTGTTTGACGATGCCCGAAAGAAAGAGTGCTAACGTTGTTCGTCCCTAATCTACAAATCCTCTATGCCTTGATAATTTCTAATTTCATTTCTCTTTTTTCTTATAATGATGGTGTCATGCAAAAGCAGTTTGTAGCCACACGTGCTGCAGTGCAAAGCTAAGAAACCACTGCGACCATTTTTGACATTACAAGCATGTTCCCGGAGTCGGTCGTTGATACGATAGCCAGTTTGTTTTAAGCTTGCCACATCAACGAAAAAAATTCTGAGACACCTTTTTTTCGTTGATTTCAACCAGTGACCCGTCGCTCCACAGTGTGCTGCATTAGACTACTCAGCCATGTGCCAGACATGCGCCGGCAGTAATAACGGCGAGCTATTTACATTTACCATTTACCGCTAGGGGTACGCAGATTTCGGAGGAGCTTGAGCGTGTTTTGCATCCCATAACACTTTTATATTTTTTACAATCTAAAAAATTCCCTGGAGACGTACAGGAAAAAAGGGCCCCTGGTGATATAGAACAAAAAACATACACTGCACACACCTTGCGTAAGATGCCACCGCGTGGTCAGAGATGCACAGAGGCCACACTACGCACTTCGATACTTGCAGCGCACTGCTCAAACACAAAGGCATAACTGTGATAGTTGTTAATACACTGTTGTCCAATGTATACCTGTGCGTTCTTTTTGAGTCCTTTGTGCTTTAGCGGGATGCTGCAAGTATCAAGCTGCTTGTTGAACTTCGTGTGACATTCCAATTTCTTGCTATCACATTCATTGCTTCACCCTTGCGGCTAAACTGACCTTTCATGAGTATGACTACATGTAGACGAAAAAACAATTTCCAAACTTATATCCCCTGACACTTAAACAAAGGGTGATTGTGCTCTAATAGCTGCATGATTACTACAGTCAAATCTCATTAATTCGAACATGCTTAATTCGAACTTCTGGTTAATTCGAACTCACGATGAGGTCCCGTCAAGGCTATTTGTATTCCAATGGGCGAACACGCCTGGCAATTCGAACGCGCAAGCACTTGCGATGATTAATTCAAACATACCGCGCTCTGAAAATGCCCTCAGCATCCCGCCCAATCCCGTGGTGGCACCTGCGACAGCTCAACTCTGTGCGCAAAGGAGATGAAAAGGAATGAAAGGCTACGGTGGAATGATTTCTCTCTCTCAAATGCTGATAGCGACGCGCCCGTGTCACTCTTCTCCCTTTTCCATCCCTGCCACGTAAAGGCCCTTCCCCTTCCAATGCCACACGCGAAGAGACATAGGAAAAAAAAAAGAAAGCTGTCGCTGGGTTTAATGAATATGTGGTTGAAGGAAAGCAAAAAGGCACTATCTTGTGCAGCCTTTTCCCCTTGCGGGAGCACGGATCTGCGCCTTGAGGGTGGGGGGGTCTCTTACGCGCCGCTGTCACGCTTCCCCCTCTCCTGTCCCTGCCACGTAACCCTTCTCCTTTCAACGACACACGCGAAGAGAGCAAAAAAAAAAAAAAAAAAAAAGCTGCCGTGGAGTGTTCGTTTTCTCTCAAATGCCGATCTGCTGCTCTCCGCGTGGAGGCGCTCCTCCTTTCTTGTCACGTGCTGGCCATGCTGCGGCTGTGAGAAACTCCGCTACGCAGTTGTTGTTGTCGTCGTCTTTAGAAAGTGTCTGCGCTGGACATTTCCGCGCGCAACTTCTCTTGCCAGGAGAATTCTGAAGCCGAAGTAGGAATGCTTTGCAAGCTGCGTGCGAAATTTATTGACTCACTGCAAGGTAAACGTGTGCAGACATACATCACCGATGACTTCAATTAATAATGAATGTCCTGTGATTTGTGAATAAATGTAAGTCTTCTGAAACTTCCCCCTCGTGAGTTAGCTCAATGCACATGCGCCACTGCATGGAGAGCCCTCCATTTATTTAGCTTTCATTCAATTTAATTCGAACAAATTTTCGGGCCCCTTCGAGTTCGAATTATCGAGATTCAACTGTATTAATCACAACTGTCACGGTGTGGCAACTTCCGCACTTGACCTCCATCTTCCCTGACGGCAATACTGAGAACAGAGTTAGTGCTATTTACAATATGTAAATGACTGACCTGTGTTTCCAATTATGCTGTGCTGTTTTCCTACAGGCTTATCACTCATGCACTGGGTATACACAAAGACAATAAACAATTTCAAGCACGTAAGGTCACGATAAGACGATTGTTATGATACGAGTTATGATAAGGATACATGGACTTTGTGACATGAAATCTTGCCACGATCATCGAGGCCAAGCAATATCTTGTGACGAAAGAAGAGGCTGTTGATGCTGGCAATACACCGCTCAAGCATGTGCAGCAACTGAAAACAGTATAATGCAATGCAAAGTTCTGCTGTAAACATTTCATACACACAAACACTTGCACATTGAAATATGGTGTCCTAGATTACTAAAGGTGGCAGCCAAAACGTGATCAGTGACCTTAAGCAGTTCATCCACTGATGAGATGAGAGACTGTGACACAGCTGCCCAAACTACCGCTCCTTCATTATGTATTCCCTTCCTGCTTCTACTTGTCGCAACAGCAAGCAAAGTAGATGCAAACAAGAAAAGCAGTAAAGATTGCTCCAGCAGCAACTGAATAAAATTGAAGCTTTATTTACCCTTCAACACGAATGAGGGTCATGAAAATGCAACAAGTAAATGGTTTGAGAAGCCCTCAATCACTTAACAGTTCCTGTCCTGTCTTTCTGTGTGCTTATATTAAAACTTTAGTGCTGAATTTTTTCAATCAAAAAAAAAAAATAACATATGACAAGGTGAGACAACACACACGCACACACACTGCAACTGCATCTTAGTAAAGCTTGAGTATTAAGAGGGCTGCCCTGCTTCTTTTTTCATTTTCTTTTTTACATGCCTGTTTTGCTGCCATCTTGAAGTTAAGCTCTTTGACCGAACAAGAGTCCTGGGCTCAACCTCTTCCCAATTATGGGTGAATAGGAAAAGGGAACTTACTCTATTTTAAACGAACACTAAAGTGAAACAATGAATCAGATTGATAAATTGTGCTGTGAAAACTTTAATGTCATTAGTTTCACAATATGTTTATTAACAGAGGAGGAAATAAATGTTTAAGTTTCACTACTGAATTTGACACCGAAAACCTCCATATTTAATATCACAAATTTCTAAGTGTTTTTTTCTTACTCTGGTGATATTAGCTCAATGAAATTTTCAGAAACTTTCTAAGTAACAACTATAACCTTCTCTGAGTACAATGTACCTCATCTTTAATAAGCAGAAATTACATATGACCTAGGAGCCACTGTCAAAATCTATGACGTCATAGCTCTTAATGTGGTATATTACCTAGGAGCCACTGTCAAAATCTATGACGTCATAGCTCTTAATGTGGTTGCTACCCGTGTTTTTTTTCGCACTTTTTCTTTTTATCCAAGAATGTTCTCGCAGTCCGAATGGTGTTTTCAGTATTGAGAAATTGTAGTTTACTAATATAGAAAAATTGTTTCCCTCTTTTGTGTGCCTTGAAAAGTACATGCATGCACATGCAGGTTACCAACTGGCTGTCACCTGGCAAATTTTTCCCAAGACACGAAGGGCAATTTCACTGTGCCTTGTAAAGATGGCCCCTAAAGGCAGCTGCTGTGACTGTTTTCATTTGTGACATGCAGCGGTGAATATAGGTGCCGTCACAGTTTTGAGATGTAATGACAGACAGTGAAAACCTCAGAAACGGGATGCCAATGCATGTGATCTCATGGATATTAAATGAGTAGGGTGCTTTAGTCAGTAAAAACTGAGGAAATTAAAAACAGAAGCTTATCAAGGAGTTTTTACTATAGAGAAAAACAATTCGAGAAAGGACTGGAATACATCCTACAGAAGTGCTGAGAAAAGGAAAGGAAAGGCAGGAAGCTTAGCCAAGCTTTGGCTTGGTTGGGTATCCTACGCTTGGGGGGGGGGGGGGGGGCAATAGAAAGGAAAGAGATAGAGAAAAAAGAAGAGTAAGAATGAGATGGATAAATAGTCAGCTAGAGACTACACAACACAGTCTCGTGCTGTTCGTTAACAAGTAAACAGAAGTGTTAAGTTCCCGCCAAATGTCTAAGAGGCGCTTACGTGGTGCTACAACATTTAATAAGTTCTTTTTGTACATCTGTGTAGAACTGCACTTCTTCCAGAATCAACAGTTGATGAGCCTGACCGATAAAAAATTGGGCAACTACTGACAGCTTAATAGAATGCGTTGCTGGGCAAGTTGTCGCTTGTCTGAAGATAAAAGTAGAGCGAATCAACAGTTGATGAGCCTGACCGATAAAAAATTGGGCAACTACTGACAGCTTAATAGAACGCGTTGCTGGGCAAGTTGTCGCTTGTCTGAAGATAAAGGTAGAGCGCAAAAAAATGGGACACAAGGCAAGTATACAATCTGTACACTTCCCACAATTTTTTCATAATAAAATCAGTTGGTAGTGAGCACCCATACAGTCTACTTGTCTCCAGTGTCCAGTCTTTTTGTGCTCTACTTTTATTTTTCAGACTTCTGACACCTTATTGACAAAGCCAATTGCTTCCCTCGCACACCTACCATGTTATATGTTCACAGTGCCTTCAATGCTCGGTACGCCTTATTATTCCTTGTCGTAACATGTTTATATGACAACTTCTGTCTTTGTCATCCTGACTGATATGCTTATTAATCAACATCATTCCTCCTGATAAAATACATACCCAGGACAGTCAAAGTGCCAACGAACAACAAATGATGGCGAGTTGAACTTCATACCAATGCAACATACTATTTAGTGCCTTGCACAAACTTTAAGGATGTTCAAGTTCATCAAACTTGGTACATTATTCTGGTACAAAACTATCATTACCCTCCTTTGCCATAAATTTACTAATATACATGATTTATATTCTTTTCTAAAGGGGGACACAGGTTGTTGAGACCAAAATATCAAGCACAGGAATAAGTCTTCTAAAACTGCACTGATGAGATCTACAGTTATTCTTGCACATGCCAAATGTTATGCTTATTATACCAGTTATTAAGTCATAGTGTTGCTTAACAAAATGTTTGAGCTGGAGGTCTTGCACGTTCTTATCAGTTCACACAACAAAAAACATTCGTCTTTATTTTTTTCAATCAATCAATAAATCAATCAGTGTTTATTCAATGAACGCCGCGCCACGGTCCACACCGTAACAGTGACGAGCTCCGCACTGTTCCCTGAATCCTGCCGGCCCGGAGTCCAACCAAGCCTCACTAGTCTGCTGGAGTGACAACTCATAATCAAGAATAGCTAGAGCTATATTTCCTGTTATAACATAAAGCTCTATTTCATAATAAGGTAGTGGTGGGAGCAATTTTCTGCACATACTTTTTGGATTTCATATTATATTTTTCTAGCAGACATATTGTGAACACTGACATTTGATCATCTACAGAATGACTGCCGTGAAACCTTGAGCAATCGCCCTCCTCTAGGGTGAAAGACAATCGCACAAGAATTGGAGGGGCAGCCCTTGCTTGGTGTATTGCGACAAGGGGAAAAGATGCTCCTCAAATGTCCAAACAATTTGTTACAAATCAGAGTGCAACACCAAAGCACTGCACTGTAAACATACTACGAAGTCGTGCACTTATCTGAAGACCCTCTGAACTTGGGTTCCTAGCAACCATTAATGCAGACTTTTGCAGCCGAGAACAGAGTGGAAGAAAAAGAGAGAAAAAAAAGAGCAGCAAAGGAGGACTGGAAGGGGGCACTTGTTCAATACCTGGTGCATATTTCAAACTTTCTATAAAGGGGAAGGGGGCACTTGTTTGGGTAAGGGTGCATGCTTGGGATTTTAAGGTAATTATGATTAGATTTCACAACTGCTTGCAGCACTGCACTTATCAAGTTATTACATATCCTAGTAGAGTTGAACTCCTTTTTAAAAGACAAGCACCAGGAAGGAATTTTCGTCTCTTATATATGGTGTCTCTTATAAGCAGGGTACCACATATGGATTTTCTAATGACACTCTTTTCAACGCGGAAACTCTGATGTCTCTTATACCCATTTGTCTCTTACATCAGTGTCTGTTATAATGGGGTTCAACCGAATTCAGCTGTTTAGTTACATTTACAGGGGTGTGCAAATAGTGAACTTCAGAAGCGAATCGAATAGCGATGACACCGAATCAAATATGAATACAACTCGAATACTATTGAATAGCAAGTCAACCAATTTCAAAACAGCCCTACATCGGTAATTGAACTAGTTTCAAACCAGTCTGAAAATTTCACAATAATTTATTTGAAACCACTATTCACTAGCTATCGCAAAAGAGCATTACGATTGCTTAAAAAAAAAAAAAAAGGTACAATTTTGGAAACTGAGGTGAGCTCGTATACAGCAAAAATACAGTGCACTCCCGTTATGACGAACTTTGTTAAGATGAATTCTCACTTAAGACGACCAGCATGGGGATGTTTGTTTGGTTTCCCATAAATTCAATGCAAAAAAAATCTGAGATGAACTGCGTAACAGGCCTCTTCTGTAAAGACGAACTCTCGCAGCCACCAACGACGACAGCGATTCTGCGCAACAGATATTGTAGTCTTGGTGGGGCATTAAAGCGAACGAGAGAAAGCAAAATGGAAAAAAAAAAAAGAAAAAATGAAACTGCTTTGAACCTAAGACAGAAATCAAATGAAGACATGGAGGTAGGAAGCGAGATAAGCAGAAATGTCAGAGCACAAAGCTTGTATCTTCCTCACCCCTAGCCTGTAAGAGAAAGGGCGGGCTTTATCAGCAAAGAAAGCAGCACAAGTGTTCAGCAGTTTCCCACAGACTCAATGAAAAAAAAAGCCCCCTTTAGGCAGACCGCATAACAGGCTTAACTACAGGGACCCCTAAGTGCCACTGCGTTATTTTATTTTTCCCACGTGCTTCAGTCCCCTGACAGGAGTACAATAGCGAACAGATAAACACAAGAGCTTGGTCAGAGGGAGAAATGCAAGGGAAGGGGTGCAAAAAAAAGCCAAATGAAAGTGAAAACGGGGATGAAAATTGTTTGCGCATCATAATTGCATATAATGCCCATACTATATCTTAAGCATGCAATGGAGGTATATCCAAAAGTTGTATCAAAGCCAGTAAAACAGGCTCACGGCAAGTCAATAAACAGAAGCATAAATTTTGCATTTTGTGAAGGAAAATTGTGCTTGTCTCCCCTCCCCCCTTTTTTTTCCAATCATCAAAATAAGGCCATGCTACCTTTTATCGTTAAAATTTGGTAGCAATTTATTCATGAGCACACTTATTATGAACTAACAAAATTGGGTGCTTATTAGATTCGTATAAATACTCTACATAAAGGTATAGTTTTTATCAAGCCAAATAAATGTATTTCCTTATTCCATTCCTCCCTATTGTAAGTATTCTCCATTCAGTGTTTTCAAGCAACATATTGGGACACACTTGGCATGTTAGCACTTCTTTCTTGGGGGCACTTCTGATAAGACGAACTCTTGATAAGACGAACAAATGACTGTGGCCCCTTCGAGTTCGTCTTAACGGGAATCTACAGTATAGCCTTTGAAATATTTTGTAACAGCAGGTTGAAACACCAGAAAGACTGAAGGATTCATGGTAGCACTTTGTGAACAGCTTTTGAATAATCTAATATATGAATATCAAACAATATTCATGAGTCAACACCATCATGACCGTCGTCATGACAAAAATAGCCAGCTAACTCTTCTGGGTCCTATCCCACGCAACTCTACAAAACGCTGGTGTAAAAGAATATGGTTGCTCCAGGCACAGTTTTCACACTGTCTGTGCATGCCGAGGGCGCAGCCTGTAGAAGGGTATATGCGCCGGCCGCTGATGGCTGCTGAGATAGCATGTGCACCAGCGATGGAGACCGTGCCCTTAAATTAAAAAATCCCAGATGATGCTCAAGAGAACCCCACCCTCGCATCTTTTCATGCTCGTTAAAGACGGGCACGGAGTTCCCTCTCTGCTTCGCCAGCAGGCCTCCAGAGTAAGGTGATGTTATTGCATGTACCCTCCGAGTGATGGAGATGGGCGGGCTCGTTTGATCTCTGCTTAAAAGGGTGGTGCCATAGAGTTAATATACTGACTATAGAGTAAAAGCTCCCCATAGGGCCCTTGCATTAAAACTTAAACTGCACGAGTGCTGCCATGATAGAATGATACTCATCTTTCGGGAGGTCCGAATCGCACTCACCGGTGCATGCTACAATCACCTCTGGCATTTTTATCTCTTTCGTGACTCCCTGTTTCATCGGACTTAGAGACTGTCACATTAAGTTGAGTTGTTGGCCCATGGCAACAAAAAACCTGGACGACAAGACACTATGATTCAGACGACGTACGAGCAAGGTGGCACATTTAGCTGGACTGTTATGCTCTCACCCACAAATACCAATACGGTAAGAGGATAGTGGCACTATCTTGTAAAGAAAACTTCAAACACTTCTCTCCATGCATGGTAAATTGCATATGTGACTATTCTATCTTATCTAAAAATAGTTAATATAAATGACAAATAATTTTTGTTCGTTTATAGTGTGTGAACACGTTTGTTTATGATTTATAGTGCGAGAATTGGAGTGTTTTAAACTGCTATAGTGAGCGCTTCTCTAAAGTATTATAATGGCAAGAATGACAATGTCCCAAGGTATCAGCACTTTGAGAATTATAGCTTCTCCAGCCTAGCTTTCCGTACAGAGTCCTAGAGTCTGTTATATTAACTATATGAGTGGTGTCATCAAATTTCAAGGCAGTAAAAAGCCTGTTGTGTGTTTACCCTGTATGCAAGGAGACTCCAAATGGAGGGTCAGACACGGCAAATGTTTAGAATATATTTTAATTCACTCCCGAAGTGTACCCAAATCCTCATTCTCCCAATCGAGACCCATCGCTAGTGCGTACAACACTGACGTAGCTCTATAGGAAGAGCAACGAAAGTTGTAGTGATGTCACACTGCTGACTTGAGTGAACTCCGGACCTAGCAACGTATGTGCCGGCAAAGCATTGGTTGCTCCATCACTTGAGACTGCTATAGCTAGCCATGGCAACTGTCGGCGCGTTTGTTTTGCTGGTGATTGTGTGGCACGTGTGCACGAGAGCAGATGATACTTAGCGTGACGTGAGTCACAGCCTTGTGTTATCACGTGACCAAGCCGCCTACACAGCTGCATCACTGCCCAACTTGGCACCCAGAAACCGAAATCGAAAGTTGTTCACCTAAATAAGGCAATAATAAATTATTTAGTGAGAATACATGAATCTTGGTGCATGTATCATGTTTCCTGGAGCTATAAGAAACGCTTGCAACAAAAAACGTGCCAGCGACAAATTTGGTGGCACCACCCCTTTAAGTCGAATTCGTCGGCCTCATTAATGCGCTATTACCTGCCGGTACAACATATGATGCATGGGAGATTTTATTAATTTGTACTTTATATGGGACATGACAGCGGCAGAAAAAACCCATTGAGAGTGTCCATATAGTTACTATCACTATAAAACACCTCATCCTGTAATAATATAGTGTCAATAAACCAATAAAACCTTGGAATGCAAGCATCTTGATAATTAGATGGTTAAAAGAAAAACATGTTACCCCTCTCAGCCCAATGTTTTGTTCCTTTGATGTTTTTTTATCGGCGCTACTAATACACTATTCGATTCGTTATTCAACATTTTCGAACATTCGCACACCCCTAACACTCGCTTTCTGTTGAGCAGGTTTTTCTCAGAAACAATAGAGTGGCAGCTCTATCTACCTCCCGAATTCATTGACCTAAAAAAAGTCACTGCATATTTGGCATGAACAATTCAGTAAATACTTACATCAACCTGTCTCTCTTCCCAAATGTGAACTTTTCTGTAACAAGCAGCAATTTTTTCTTTAAGGTGCCTTTTAAGAAAGCAAAGTGTGCTTGCCTTAAACTTAAGCCACATACAGACGAAGATGCCCAAGGCGTTGACCACAAGCCAGACAACGCCACCGCCAAAAAGGGCGAGGCCTCGAACACCAGAGAAGAGCAGGCAGAGCAGAATGAAGAAACCCAGAAGCACCCAGACCAGCAACAGACGCTTGTAGCACACGTTGTAGAGGGTGAAGCGCATATCGTGCACAAGCACATTCATGGCCGCCACATATTCCTCCACAGTCAGCTGCAAACAATGCAATGACACAATAAATAAGTAATAGTATTAATAATAGTTACTAGAGTCTTATATCGTAACAGAGGAAACCAGAGACATGTGGCAAACAAGACAAATGACAAAGATGGCAATTAAAGTTTATAAAAATCTAGTGTAAGCTTTTATAAAAAATAATTGGCCCATTAGTTTTAAAAAATTGTTCTCATGTCAGCTTACATATCGAAAATGGCTTACTAAGGTGTTCAGGCATTTTATTGAGATACTCATCATATAGACACTCTCGGCTGGATTTTGCCGCTGGCGTTGGCTTCGTCGTTACTCACTGTATATGTATATGTACTATATATATAAAAACACAAGAAAGAAAAATAACCCAGAAAAAGACTAGGCTGCGGGGAATCGAATTTTCAACCTCTTGCTTGTGAGTGCGAGGCGTTAGCCACTGAGTCATGAAGGAGCACCCCCTTTAACAATGAAACAGCAAGCTATTTATATCTATCACTTACCAATGGTGATGACCATCTTGGGGGAACTATCGTGTTTTCAGCATTACCAGCGAGATGGCGCAATGAGCGCTATCTCCCACGCGTACTTTGCCCCGCAGAGAGGGGGGGGGGGGACGCACACCCCTGCACACTTATCTCATGGTGGGGAGAATATACGCTTTAGGCTTTCACCGGAACGATTCTTTTGTAGTTACCGGGTGCACAAAGGTCACTGCACTCGAAGCAAAGTCTCCGTTTACGAAAAGAGTGCGCTTTTCAGACACAGAGAAGTAATAACTGAGACACTTATTCGCGTTCATCTGTACCTGTGAGTACGCTTCGTGCATCATTTGTTCGTGAGCAACGTGGGGCACGTTTCGATCTGCTCGCCATTCTTCACTTGACATTCCAATTTGTTGATATCGCATTCATTGCTTCACCTTTGGGGCAAAGCTGTAACTTTTTGTAGACACCTTAGTAAGCCTTTTCAAAAAGCACTCTAAACACAATATGGTATTACTCATAACTAAACGATGTTCAGCATACATGCAGGTATGCTCAATTTGATTTTAATTTCTACGCAACCCTCAACTGTGCCGTATGGATTAAAATTGGCATACATAAAGAAAACTTCAAATTTACCGTGATTTCTAAGTCAGCTCTCAACAGTGAAGCATGCAGTGACAATCAATGTACTGAAGAGAGGGGCCTTTAGATTTATCTGAACATTGTGAATCACTTCTCAATATATAGTGCTGTATTTGTGAACTGTGTGCGCTTCTCTTCATCGTCATCGTTTTCAATGTTATTGCCCTCTATCATATGCAACCAACAAGCCCAACTGGCCACTCTAATCGACACAATCTGAATATACAAAGCAGTGACTACAAAATCAACCAGAATCAGTATTACAGAACTAGAAACAAAAAAATTTAGAACAACACTTTCGACCAGTACAAAAACATAACCTAAATATAATTTGGTTTTGGAATCAAACTAAAATATTCAGTTCAAGGAGGCATTCAGCAAAACAATACAAACATCAGGTAATGTCAGCCTTTGTGCCTTTCTCTGGCAGGGATAGAGCGAGTGACAGCAGGTTGAACAGCCTCACTACTGGTATCACCACCCTCATTTTTCATTCCACAGCAAACACAACAAAACCTTCATTATTAACGCTACAATGATAAATATTTCATTCATATACCTTGCCTATAAATAATTCTGAGCCCATACCTGCATGGTGTCGTAGTGACAATTAGAGTGCTGTTCTCTATGACATTGTGCTCCAACTGTTGATAAATTGAAGAAATTAAGTTATACATGACCGAGATTCACCTTAAGAACCTGACTTGAACCTACTGATGTACTATACTGGAGCCAAATGAGTTGTTGCTGACTAATTTACATATAAGACAGAAAATATGACATTCTACTGCTTGTAGCATACGCTTTGGTCTTATAGAACACTAAAGACAATAGCAAACAGCCATAATTATCGAAAAGGCTGCTCTGCTTCTATGATAAAGTACTATATCACTTCTTGATTCATAAAATGTGCCCACTGAAGCTATTATCAGCATTCCCATCACGTTTTCAAACTGCTTGCGAGTGTGATACCTGGCTGTGATAGCCACAGCTGTTGCACTGCCTTGATCCTCATTCCTATTTTGTGCAATAAAGGTCAGCAGCATCAACAATGAGCAGACGCGCATCTTATGCTTTACATGTTGCATGCTTTTTATCTTTCTCTAGCAATGCAATGTAACTTCGTTAGACTTCAAAAAATCACTATATGCTGGGGTTTTCTCTGCCAGAACCGCCATAAGATTACTATGAGGCACACCAAAGCAGTAGACATGTGCTTTGTCCCCGTCATAATGTGTCTGCTGTCGCTAGTAATTTAACTTGCATTGTCAAACCTAGTAGCACAACACATTAGTTTTTAAGCTTTCACGGTGGATAATAATAAACTCAGATCTGGTCTGGAAGCTTGTACATCTGTCAATGAAAGATGAAACTGCCATAAACAAGTCTTTTTATAAGTTAGTATCAGCTGTAGTTGCAGCACTTGATTTGCTAAGAGCAGTAAAAAAAGATGTCAATGATTTCACCAGGGTTTCGGACATGAAAAAGAGTTGAATTCTAAAGTTCATTCAGTGGAGGGCAAAATGATAGCTGAAAGCCTTTGAAGGGGCCCTGAAACACTTTTTCATGTAACCATGGAATGAATTCATTAGAAGACCTTACTGCCTCACAAATGGAATGCCGCAAAAATTTTAAGAATCCGACCCGTGCGAGTGGAGTTAGAGATTTGCCGAACTCTGCAATTGCATTTTCTCTTCTCTCATCCTGACGAAAGCACCGGAAGCTAAGCAGGAAAGGATGGTAGGGGCAAAGAAAAACGTCACGTGCACCTCGTGACCTTGAGCACTTTTTTTTTTAATGCGCGACTTTTCAGTGTAATTGCGTGCACATGTGTGGATAAATCATGGCCTGCCACAGGGATCTCTGTAACGACCGAGCGCACCATGTTCAACTCAGCCAATGGCTGATAGATGGGCTTTTTAAGAGTCATTTTTGAGCGTCTTCCGTGATTTGTCGAGAAGAGAAAGCAATTTTTAGCTGACTTCGGCAATTTATTGTGAATACCAGGCCACGTATTGCGCTATAATATTTGGGAGCCTCTACTACTGATCGGCAGCGTTTTCTGACCATGCTCAAAAAGTGTTGCAGGGCACTTTTAATATCACTACCAAGCTTTGAAGGTTGCAATCACAGTGGTATGAATGCTAGTATGACCCTCACTTGTGGACCTATTCAATTAGGCATAGAGTGAACTTGTACTTGTTTTTTTGCAACATATAGCCCTCCGAAAAAAAAAAAAAAGTGACAGTTCTCATGCTATAGAATTCCCGGTTCTCAGGATCACAATTTCTAAATCAAGTAATGGTAGTGGGTGTAGTTGCATAAGCCCTGCCGATGGAGGACCATCAAAAGCGGGTGTTGTCAAGGCGACATAAAAAGTGTTCATGACTGGACTCCAACACAGATGGATACCTTAGCGAGGCTTAAGCAGCAGCGAAGCCAGGTCATTATGTTGCTAGACGTGCTAGTTTCACTTCCAACATAGTTATATTAATATTAATAACACCAGCCAGTCAAAATTATTGGTGACACCCTTGGTAATACATTCTATTGTCTTCATATCAGCTCCACAGTTACCCAAAGATTGCAGGGTCAGTTCCTGCTAGCAGGAAGTTTTTTTTGTCCACTTCACCTCACATTTGATTGATTGATATGTGGAGGACCTTTATATGTGTGAGCCAACTCTGGCAATTTTTCGAGGTCAGTGGATCTCTGGGTATGTTTATTTGCACGTTTGTGCCATTCATGCCAAATCGCAGGTTGGAGAGTTTCCCAGATTCTTTTCAAATGAATTTTATAGCTTGCCTCGAAACACTCACCTCACTTGCCAGAATTAATGGCAACATTGTGTGTGTGTGACGTTGAGTTTTGCCTGTCAAAAGTGACGAACTTATGTCTTGTCTGCTATGAATTCTGTGGGTTTGGCAGGCGCTTCCTTGGTTGAGCGTGCGATTTTATTTTTCGTGTTAGTGGGCATGCGATAGGTGCCAAGTGGTGTTGCGTTGTAAGCCACACACGATTCACCATAACAGCCTAAGCATTTTAGCCGATCACCGCGAACGGCATGGACAGGTAGTGCCACCTGGCGGGCATTATGTGCAATCAGGCAGGTTCCTGCAACATCAGGCAAATCTTTACGTCACACGTAGAAGAGCATTCAGTTAGGTTTCAGTTTCGGTATTGCGGTTTTTCAGTAATTAAAAATTATTTTCAAATTTTTCGTGCATGTCAGTTATCTGGTGCGTGAAAAGACTGTCTAAGAAACATAAAAGCACCATTATCCTGACATGATCACAAATCGCCGGAGTTGGCCTTAAGCGCCACTCACCAGGCCCCATATCAAAATTTAGTTAGACAGTGGAAGTTGTTCGGTGTCCGAAGAGGAACATTTTGCTACAAAAAGTTTTTGAATCGGTTCATCGCGAGCGGAGAAAACGGGTTCTTTGAAGCGGCGCGAAACGAGGATGAGAGGAGGCGAGCTTGAAACCCTTGCCGCTCCTCCGCGTAGTCTTCGCAAGCCAAATTGCTTCCCCACCCTGTCGGGCAACCGACCAAGAGGTCACGTGCGTATGACGTGCCCAAACAAGTCCAACCCTCGAGCACGCGAGCGATGTTGCTTCGTTGACCAGCGTTATTTTGTGGTCTTCTGCCTGTTTCAGCGGGATGGTTTGGAAACGCTGGCTTAGACGCGGTAGAATAGATGAGCACAATGAGTGCGTGAACGCGTAAGAGCGTTCCACAGCGGTCGTCTACTCGATGCGCTGACTGCTGGTACACAAACGCATGCGAAACGCCGACACAGTAGCCCCGCATATCATTGCAATTCATGGGAGAAAAATGAAAAAAATATGCTCACATTCCCTTATTGCATCTTAT